TGGTCCAGTGGTGTGTCCATTGCAGAAATTTGTGCGGCGGCCTCTCGCCGCTCGCCGTCCACCTTTGTCAGGTTCTACAACCTGGACGTCCCTGCTTTGCAGGCTCAGGTGCTTAACTGTTAACTGTCTCTCTGAGCTCAAAACGCTCCAGGAACCATATCCCCGCCCTAAGGCTGGATTTATATAGCCAGATGCCCCGCCCATTCTGGCGGGCTTCGTCGCCATAGGCTCGTGCAGCTCTGCTGCCGCGCCATTGGTTCGTTTTTAAAGCCCTGCACGAACCAATGGCCGTGCAGTTTCACTGTGCGAATGAAAAGGCTTCAGTTCAGGAGAAAACAGGCTTTTTTCCCATATGCAAGACGCAGTACGAGTGAAGTATTGAAAGGGAACATACTCGGTTACTAACGTAACCTCGGTTCCCTGAGATATGGGAACGAGTACTGCGTAGCTAACCGTGCTATGACGCTGCACAACTCTGTCGTCGCTTCAGTCGATATGAATCAGTAATCCTATGCCGAGCACCTGCTTATATAGCCAGATGCCCCGCCCATTTTGGCGGGCTCTGGCACGCTGCTTCGCCATAGGCTCGCGCAGCTCTGCTGCGCTGTCATTGGTTAATTTCTGAAAAAATAGCAGTGCAGATGTGCAAAAAAAAGGCTTCAGTAATCGGAGAAAAGGAGTTTCCCGCAGCATCTAGCGACGCAGTACTCGTTCCCGTATCCCAGGGAACCGAGGTTACGTTAGTAACCAAGTACGTTACCCAGTGTAATCTCATCTTAATGGATCCTATCCTGTCTAGGGCAAGCAAAGTCCATCTGTCCAAATCTTTATAAATGTTCTCATTTATTTGATGTAATTTAAAGTGTACAAAGAGGACAAATCCTTCAATAAATACATCCCAGGACACTGAATATGTAGATAAATTCCAATTAAAATGATACTTATTTGCCAGTTCTTGTGTGCGAACAAAGTTCAGTATCAATAGCTCTAATATGTCTTTAAGATGTTCATCAACAAAGGCACTTCTGAGTCTAGGTTTTGTAATGTTACCAGTACATCACCTGCATATAAATAGACTTTGTATCCTTTTTTTATTTTTATATGATCACTAATTGTTTGAGCCAATGGTTCAGTAAAAAACATAAAGAGTCTAATGGGACGGATCTATCTGCATCCTAATTGTAAAACAGCTGAATTGGAAATACTAACGTTGATGCTTTACTGAATCTAAAGCTATCCATAACTTGATAAAGAAATTCCCAACTGACAGAATCAAAAGTCATGATCTAAGGAGAGAGGATTGCTTTACTTTTTTTTTTCTTCATATGATCAGTAATGTGCAGGGTTCTCCGAATAATATTGATGGTTTGCCTGTTTTGCGACTCCACTTTTCTTACCTGCTTTATATGATAACTAATAAGTGTAAGGACTTCTGAGTCTAGGTTTTGTAATGTTACCAGTACATCACCTGCATATAAATAGACTTTGTATCCTTTTTTTATTTTTATATGATCACTAATTGTTTGAGCCAATGGTTCAGTAAAAAACATAAAGAGTCTAATGGGACGGATCTATCTGCATCCTAATTGTAAAACAGCTGAATTGGAAATACTAACGTTGATGCTTTACTGAATCTAAAGCTATCCATAACTTGATAAAGAAATTCCCAACTGACAGAATCAAAAGTCATGATCTAAGGAGAGAGGATTGCTTTACTTTTTTTCTTCTTCATATGATCAGTAATGTGCAGGGTTCTCCGAATAATATTGATGGTTTGCCTGTTTTGCGACCACTTTTCTTACCTGCTTTATATGATAACTAATAAGTGTAAGGAAAACCCATGTAATTAGTTTTCATGGTCATCATTGGATAAGTTATTTTTTTGCAAAAATGCACAAAAATGCTCTTTCTTTAATTTAATTACTAGCTTACTCCTTTAAATTTAGCCCATTCACAATTAAAGATAGGATACCAAAAACCTGAAAAAATATGTTTTTTTTCTTTTGACAAACTCGCAATAAAGAGGAAACATTTGTGTCAATGAGGTGGAGCAGCCACAAGGTGGGGCCCTTTGATCGCCAATGAAATAAAGAAGCAGAAGAAAACAAACTACCTAAAATGAGCTGTGGTGCACAAGTTAGCACTACTTATTAAGTCAGTAATTATGACCAAACATAGAAATGCTTATTTTAACCATATACCCTATTCAGTCAGTACACTTTCCATGTCAGGAGTGGGATTTATATATATTTTCCCATAGCCATAATTCCTCTCTGCAAGCAGATATTGAACAGCTGATAATCAACATCTCTATGCCACAGGGGGTTAGACACAAATTTTCTCTGTTCCTCTTCTGATAACCTCAGTTTCTCCTGGATACCTTCCTGATGCTCCCCCTTCAAGAATGGACGATCGAGTGGCTTCTTCTGTTTGAACAGTAGCATCTTGGATTTTATGTTTATTTCGGTAGTCATATCCTAAACTGTTATTTTAGATTCTGCCAAAAACTCACTTTGTTCAGCTTTGTTTATTTTTGACTTCTAGTCACCCACCCATTATGGCTAAAGAGATGGGCCCCAAAAATGAAACCTCTGTCATCATTTACTCACCCTCAAGTAGAAGATATAGAAGATATTTTGAAGAATGTGGAAACAACCTGAGGGTGAGTAAATGATGACCGAACTTTCAGTTTTGGGTGAACTATACTTTTAAATCAGCTTTGCTTGTGAGTCTACCTTTTCAGCGTCTGTCTCTTTTATGCCTCTTAACACCTCACCTTCCTGTTTTTCCTTACAGTTTTAACTGGCAAACACTGAAGCAATATCTGCTGCCATTCTGTGTCGCACTGACCAATGCTGATGAAGGAGAAACGGTTGTGAATCCTCACAGGAATGGCAGAGGTGTCATTAGCTGCTATGTCACCGGGTTGTCACCCCTTTGCCCTGCTGCAGGGCCTCTGCTGCCAGAACCCAAGCCCTTCTGTGTTGCGATACTATTTGTGTCTTATACTATAGCCATCTGCTTTTCTTTCTCACTTTCCTCCACTAGCTTAGGCTGCAGTGAAAGAAGAGCTCTCTGAAAAGATTAGGATGAGAGGGCCTGAATAAAGCAAAGTAAATACTCTCAATAAGGCAGATGTTTTTTTTTTCTCTTTTCTTTTTGCCACTTAATTAGTAAAAACGTCGCTATAGTCATATAGCAGACACTTTTATTCAAACACATTTAAAGTTCATTTCTTACAGGTCAAGTTAAGTCCTCCTGGAGTAACCTGAGGTTTAGTGTCTTGGTCAGGGTGGTGTGTCTCATTGCTCGCTTTTTAGGGGACTGAATCCTCAGTCAACAAACCAGTCAAGTTTTTTTTAGCCATTAGAACACACCACAGCACCTCATAAATACTGTCACTTACAGCTAGAGAGTTGTGCTCACATATTTACAAGTTACAAGTTGCAGAATATGCAAAATGTTAATAATTTTAACAAAATAAGAGGGATCATGAAAATCATTATTGTTTGTTTAATACTGTCCTGAATAAGCTATTTCACATAACAGATGTTTATATATTCTCCATGAGACAAAATAAAAACAGAATTGATAAAAATGTCCCCGTTCAAAAGTTTACATACCCTTGAATCTTAAACAAAATAACTAAAATGTACACATCATCATCCTGTTCAAAAGGTCACATCCTCATTTCTGGGAAACATGTAAGTATTTAGGTAGCTTCTTAAGTGCAGTACCAAATGAAAAAAATATGATCTTTAAACAAAATATGGAAAATGTACACATCATCATCCTGTTCAAATGTTTACAACCTCTGACTCTTAATGCATTGTGTTGCCTTTTTGAGCATCAGTAAATGTTTCCACCTTTTGTAATAGCTGTGTATGAGTCCCTCAGTGTGAAAAGATGGATCTCAAAATCATACAGTCACTGTAGGAAAGGGTTCAAATATGCAGAAGATGCTGGAAAACCAAAGAATGTGCAGGAGCTGGGGGATTTTTCTGAAGAACAGCAGACAGTTGAACTGCTCAGGACAAACAAGGGACTCATGTACAACTATCACAAACACAGTAAAAGTAAAACAGTCGTGGATCATCCAGGAAACAACACAGATTATTAGGATTCAAGGGTATGTAAACTTTTGAACGGGGTCATTTTTTTATGAATTCAGTTATTATTTTGTCTTGTGGAGTATATATAAACATCTGTTATGTGAAATAGCTATTCAGGAAAAGTACAAAAAAAAATAACATGCAATCTTCATGATCCCTCTTATTTAGTTAAAATTATTAACATATTTGCATATTCAGCAAGTGGTATGTAATCTTATGAGTACAACTGTAACTCATTCTCAATGTTTCAATGCATGGCTCAATGAATAAAACAAAGCAAAATTCTCTAATGCTTTATTATATTTTTGCAGACAAGTGGACGGTAGCATTTTGTTAAATTTGACAGATAGGCTGGAAAACAATAAGCACAGGCTCTCAAATGTAAACTCAGATTTTGCTAAAATAGATTGACAGATGTGGATCATGGTAATGTCTTTGGAATAGTTATTTCTTTCCAGGTATAAAACAATCTGCGGTAGAATGAAATTTATAACATTTATAGGCTCAGATTCCAAGGCTGGTCAGTGTGGTGTGATTTTGTTACATTATGGAACTATGACTAATTTCCTAAATATTTTTAATAGATGTATGTATAAAGAGACAAATTAAACCCAAGCAAAGTCTTACATCTACACAAATTGGCCTTGACTTCAATTTTTACACGTGTAAAATAATTAAATCTTCTGAAAATATTGTGCTGAAAATAAGCAAAATAATGAGATATATCATAGACTCTCTGTTGATCTCTCATATCAAGCTTGAATATTTACTCTGCTTTTGTGTTCAGACAATCCAGGGAGAAACACCAGGAAGACATTTCTTCATTATTTATTCCACCCCTTTCATGAACTCCAAGAACTCTGCAATAGAAGGATAGTGGAAATGATGGGAAAGGGACACATTGGGATACATTTGCATCAAACTGGTTCACTGTTTTTTTTCTTTTAATACCAGATAACTTGCATGCAACACGACGCATGCTTACCATCATAATCAATTTTCCCATCACTGTTTTTGTCTCCATCCCTCATTAGCTCCTCAATGTCATCTTCAGTGATGGTTTCACCTGTAGCTTCCAGCATCAGCTTCAGTTCATCAAGATCAATGTAACCATCTGCATTCCTGTCCAAATACAATCAAAACCCATCAGAAACCCCTAAATCCACCGCAGGTCAGTTCTCTTAGTTCAGTTCAAGAACAAAACATACTTATCAAACATACGGAAGAGTTCTGCCAGTTCTTCCTCTGACTTTCCTTTGCTATCATCTTTCATGCACCTCACCATCATGACCAAAAACTCCTCAAAATCCACTGTACCACTGCCTGCATAAGCACACCAACAGTCATTATAGCACAAGCTTATTTTTGAATTTTAATGACAGTATACTCTTAAAAATAAAGGTGCTTCATGATGCAATAGAAGAACCGTTGTCTAAATGGTTGCATAAAGAACCATTAACATCTGAAGAACCTTTCTGTTTCACGAAAGGTTCTTTGTGGCGAAAGAAGGTTCTTCAGATTATAAAAAGGTAAGACAGAGATGGTTCTGTGATTGAATGGTTCTTTGTGGAACCAAAAATGGTTCTTCTAAGGCATCACTGTGAAGAACCTTTTAAGCACCTTTAGTGTACCTGCACTGACATTTCATGTTAAGAGATTTTAATTCTACAGTCTTGTTTTTCCCTCTAGAATGTTCCTTTTGTTTTTCAATTATTATTCAGTTAAATCTGAAAATTAGTATCAATGGTAAACACGTTGATAAACAAAAAATTAAAACTACTAGATAGTTATAAAGATTATTTTTATGCTAAGTTTGGAGCAACATGGGGGTGAGTAAATGAAGTCAGCGTTCTGGATTGTTTTGGATTTACCGTCCTCATCCACCTCATCAATCATCTCCTGGAGCTCCTCCGGCGTGGGGTTCTGGCCCAGCATCCTCAACACCTTCCCGAGCTCCTTAGTGCTGATGCATCCATCCTCAGCATCCTGAACGAAAATATCAAATGCTGCGCGGAACTCTACAAAACACCAACACAGAACTTTAGTTTACAGTACAGTTTCACTCGCATGAACCACTTAATAATATGTGACCCTGGAGCACAAAAGCAGTCTTAAGTCGCTGGGGTATATTTGTAGCAATAGCCAAAAATACATTGTATGGGTCAAAATTATACATTTTTCTTTTATGCCAAAAATCATTAGGACATTAAGTAAAGATCATATTCCATGAAGATATTTAGTAAATTTCCTACTGTAAATATATCAAACCTTAATTTTTGATTAGTAATATGCATTGCTAAGAACTTCATTTGGACAACTTTAAAGGTGATTTTCTCAATATTTTGATTTTTTTGCACCCTCAGATTCCAGATTTTCAATCTGTTGTAAAAGTTGTATCTCGGCCAAATATTGTCCTATCCTAACAAACCATACACCAATGGAAAGCTTATTTATTCAGCATTCAGATGATGCATAAATCTCAATTTCAAAAAATTGACCCTTATGACTGGTTTTATGGTCCAGGGTCACATATTGATAGTGTGAGTCAGTTTAGTAAGTCATTATTGCACATAGGCTATGAATAATGCCGTTGTTTTATTAGTTGGGCACAGGTGTTAAATTCAGGCAAATTTTTTTTTTTTAATCGGTAGTCCTGCAATGTTACAAGTGCTTCAAATTCATAAACATACAGTACTTTGAAAAAGCTGTTCTATCATTCCATTAAAATAAACTACAAATGGAGTGGGCTTTGAATAACTGACAGAATAATCTGTCCAGACTGGGCCATCCCACCAAATTCACCTTAAAAGCAGAGCGAGACACTACAGAAAGTCCAAAAGAAGCCCAGGGTGTTATGATAGGATCTACAGGCAGCTCTTCACAGCAAATGTAAACGAGTTAACCATTAGAGAGAGGCTGCACAAAAAGAAGATACTGTCCAACACCAAAATTAAATTCTAAATACAATGTGCACAGATGAGTCAACGTAGAGTTCAAATATCACGTTTGACTGAAGTGTAAGTGGACCTTTCAACACAATCACCCAAATCATGCAAGAACACAAAGGAATGACTTGGAATGGCCAACGTAAAGTCCAGCTCTCAAATCCAGTTGAAATAGTGTACGTGGACTTAAAGCAGGCCATTCCTCATTTTCATTTTCATTTTACATTGTTGTAATTGACTTTTTTTCACAGCACTGTATGTAGCAAAAAAGGTGTAATCTAGAGGCATTGTAGAATATAAAACATAATGTTCATGGCCATTCTGAGACCAAATGCTGTTTGATGCATAGTATTATACCATACCACTCTTCTGCTCATCGGTGAGCTGCTCTACCTGATGAAGACATTCATGAGTCAATAGTCATACTGTATACACACATAATATACTCTACACACATTAACGCAAACATGCATCCACACATATATTACAATCATTTTGGTCAGTGGAAGGATTTACATATATTTTAAATGGGTTTTGCCATTGTTGTGACCATGTTACTTAACCCTGCAACCAAATAATGACATGATTTGTGGGATATTTTTGCAGCAACAAACATGAACTAAAATATTAAACATATTTACTAAATCAAAGGATCTAATAAAATAAAAAACATTATAGAGTAACAGGGTTGCCTCACACAGTTGGGCATGGTTGCTCAGTCTGGAGATTTACTTCCAACCCTCCTCTAATATAATGTGTAATTCTTTAACAAACTTCACAAGCTTCATTATCTCTGTACATTTGTGTAGTTCTTTATTGCATGGGAAGCATCACCAGTCAATCACAGATAAGTGTGAATGTGTTAATAATATCTATATGATGATTTTTTTTTTAAATATGGTATTATATGTAGTAACCATATGTCAACAATACAACACTATTTATATATGCAGCTTGATTAAAAAAATATACACAAAAAAGAATATACAAAAAATCTGGATGTTTATATATGGTAATATATATGTACTGTATATATAAATAAAATTGTTCCAATTTCTAATTTCATATATGTTTTACTTCATATGACAATATATTTCATATGTGACCCTGGACCACAAAACCAGTCATAAGGGTCAATTTTTTGAAATTGAGATTTATACATCATCTGAAAGCTGAATAAATGAGCTTTCCATTGATGTATGGTTTGTTAGGATCAGACAATATTTGGCTGAGATACAACTATTTGAAAATCTGGAATCTGAGGGTGCAAAAAAAAATCTAAATATTGAGAAAATCGCCTTTAAAGCTGTCCAAATGAAGTTCTTAGCAATGCATATTATTAATCAAAAATTAAGTTTTTATATATTTACGGTAGGAAATTCACAAAAATATCTGCATGGAACATGATATTTACTTAATAACCTAATGATTTTTGGCATAAAAGAAAAATTGATAATTTTGATCCATACAGTGTATTTTTGGCTATTGCTACAAATTTATACGTGCTACTTGGTTGGACTGGTTTTGTGGTCCAGGGTCACATATATGGACATTTAATATATGTACATGTATTTGCATATGGGCTATTTAAAAGTTGTGTCATCATTAGCATCATGTTTGCTTTAGTCCAAACCAATATTTTATCCAAAAACTGACTGAGGTTAGATCTGAGTAATGCGGATTACACACAGCAGATAAAGGTATCTGGAGTTAAAAATAACAAACTGCAGATAAAGGACATGATATGAGGTGACATGACAATGAATGGTAATCCGGCAAAGCTAACTCATGAGACAGCTGCTTAAGTAAGTTACTGTCTATAGTCCCATGTCGGATCCAACACAAACCACCAGAATAGTGTGACACAAACATGTGTCAGGATGTTCCTCTCAGACTCACAGTCTCATGTTCATCTCAGAGAGATCAGT